AGTCACATAGGAGGTGTCTCAGATCTATTGCCATACCAAGCAGTGGTATGGCACTGCTTGTGTTCAAGGCACCCTTATTATATTTCATAACAGCTCCAAACCACAAGAGTACTGTGCTTGATTTATAAAATAAACTTTATCCTAAGTATGTATGAATAGAAAAAGCATAATATATAGAGAGTTTGGCATTATCCTAGGTTTTAGGCATCCTCTGGGGGTCTTGAAATGTACCCCTCTCGGACAAGAGGGACTACTGTAGATTAAAACAAAAATGCAGCCATATCACACCATTTCAATAAAGAAAACATCCCATGGTTTTTCATTCACATGCTGCTTAAGAAACTCTAAGGCAGTAAGCAGTTTTCATTTTCATCTGTTTTTGCAATATTGTTAGAGTTTGGATAAGCCAAGAAGAGGAATTTGGCTGTTGATAATTAGTATGTCCTTGGGCACAGGATATGACTTTCTGAAAAGCTAAGAATTTTGTTCCTAGGATATAGTCTTTGGGGAGTTGGAAATGATATTTATGTCCATTTGGCTCAATGCTTTTATTTTATAGATGAAGAAACTGAGGTTCTGGGTGGTGACGACCAGGCCAAGAATGAATCATTGCTCAGTGGCAGTACCAGTCTTCTTCATCACCTCTTGCTGCATCAGGCTGTTCTGGGTCTTGCCACAGAGGTGAAATTTGAAAGTTGCATATGCATTTGACGGGAAGATCACTTCTGCTAGAAGTAAAGCATCTCCTGGATCACTCGGAAAGAACTCATATCTCATACAATGAGGACATGAAGGATGCTTGCTGTACATGTGCTCAGAATGAGAATCACAGAGTTCTCTTCAGAGAATACACTGGAGCATATTGCACGGATGTGAGAACATCTTAACAATAGAACTCATTCCCTTTCAGAAAATGTTTCAGGAAGAAAAAAAAATAACTTGTATTTTCTATCACAGATGAGGCTGTGTGTAAACCAGAAGTTTCTAAGTTGATTCATATTTAAAACAGACATGTGATAATTTCAACTTTTTTCTTATGTAAAAAGATTAAATGCAAAAAAGTATCACATTTAAGAAGAAACCAAACTTTCAAAATAACATTTAACAACAACAAAAAAACCCTTCCATAAAAATTTCCTAACAATGTAACTGCTTTCTGAAAGTGCAATCAATACAAGACAGTACATTATCAGTGATGATAGTGGTTACTCAAGTGCAGCAGCTTCAGAAACACTGTGATTTGCATTTGCAGAAGATGCATACAAATTTATTCTTTTGATGAGCTCTTCTCTTTTCCAAAATATCTTTGGACTAGGCAGTGGAACTGTAAGAGCATAGCTCTGTGCTCCTAACTGAGTATCAGAAAAGGTGTCCAGTGCTGCCTTTTAAAGCAGTACTTTATAAGTATTTTTCCTTTGGAATAAGTAACTAATTTTTTTCTTTAACTTTTATTAATAGTCATGGACAAGAATAGTAAGAATATAAAATCCAAGCAGGGCAGAATGCAGAAAAAAAATCAAAGGAAAAAAATAATAGACGTAAATTTAAAGAATAAAGCCCAGGAAAGAATGATTCCTTTAACATACTCAATGGATAGAGACAAAGTTATTTCAGCTATAGGAGGTCAGACAGAAACTTCCAGAACACATATTGAATCCCTCAGGGATCTAACAGTAAACAAATTCAACGTGTTAAAATGAAATACATTAAACATATGCAAAATTAGGTTGTCTTACAATTTGGAGTTTTCTATGCATACGGAATTGGAAAGTCCAAGTTCTGATCTGTGACACCCCCCTGTGAGTGCAGGATGAGGACCGCAGAAATGTGAGGGGTGAACAAGAACAAGAAGTGCACAATTTGTGCATCCTCAGGGGTCTCCACTGAGGACCAGCCTTCTTGATTTCCATTGTTCTTATTCTTTCTCAAATTCCTCCAACATCAGCTCTTTGGGGTGTGTACAGCTGGGCCTGGTAGAAAGTTCCAAGGCAGATGGCCATGTCACCTTGAGTAACCCCGGGTGTTCATAGTGACAGGGGAAGAACCATGTCTGTGAGCAGAGCAAGACAGTTTGCAGTGTCCAAGGTTCTGAAAGAGGACGTGATCGGGATGCTGGAAGATCGGGTGGGAAGACCATGGAAACCTTAATTCAGGAACTCCTGCCGTGTACCCCACTTCTCCATCCGACACTCAGTAGCAGTAATGATTTTGACAACCATGCCTAAGCAGTCATCTCATAACGTCCTCTCCACCCCTTTATGCTCTCAGAGATACTTGAGTCACACATAAAATTTGCTTCTTTTGTGAATAGTATAACAGCTCCTTGGTCCTTATTCCAAATTCTTTGAATCCCCTATTCTCTAGGTTGTTAGTTTTATTTGCTAAAATGGTAGTCAGTAATTACTGAGTCCCTCAGAATCTTGGTAGATTTTAGTTGATATACTACTACAAAGTAGAAACAAAGGTCAATTCTGTGTTTTCCTCTCATATAAGCAAGTGGAGTGTGTGTGTGGGGGGGATGTGGGGAGGTGGGGCAGGCTGTCACCGATTTCTGAAACTGACTGAATGAAAGATATCATAACACTTTGATGTGGTAAATGCTCCAAATCATTCTCTCTTGATTGGATGATCCCTCCAAATTTAAGATGTTTTAGGGTTTCTTTTGGATTTCTGAAGCTTCAAACCATGATTTTTCTTAGTAATGCAAAACATTACATGTGCAGAGCTTCTCCCAAACTCCTCTTCTTGAAGGTTTTCCAAACATATGACAGGTGACCCCTGGCTAACTCAGCTATCTATTGGACACAGGCAGGAAAACCACATCAAATCAAACAATGCCAAGATACACTTGGATCCACCTTCTAATTTATACAGAAATTATAGATGATGCTTCCTTGTGAATAGTTTGTACTTTGATAGTTTCTATTTAATGGAATTTTCATTTTAATCCTTTTCTGAATGCACACACATTGATGCTAGTCAAAAAAAGAAAGGAAGAAACCTGCATTACTGGATTTAGAGGATTCTTAGAAAAGTAAGGCAAATCTCCATGGCAATATCCTGCCTTTGACACGTGTGGTGCTAACTTTGAAATAGTGTAAAGATGTTTCCATCATGTGGATACACTTCTGCCGGATGCGCTTACCAGGGTTGTGAAAAAGTAGTGATAATACTCGGTCATCATGCCCATGAACAGAATCTGCAAAAGAGAAACAAGGAGAAAGAATCAGGAACGGAATTCTAATAAGAAATGGGTAATTACTAGGGTGACTGCGAAAGCTTGGGAACATAGAACAGGAAGGGGCTTTGGAAATGCACAGACTCAGCAGATCAGAAACCTGAGGCCAATTAGTGGCTGCTGTGGATTGAGGCCACAGACCTCCAGCCAATACCGTTTTCATCACACACTGCTTCGACTCACATCAAAGTTATCGATCTGATGTTCAAATTTAAAAATAGTTTATGCTCAACAAATTGTATCTGTGGAGTTGTCTGTAATGGCACAGGGCTTTGTTTTTCCCACTGCCTGGGCTTCTGAGTGATCTCATACTTAGAAATATATATATATTTTATTGACCCCCATAGCCTTAGTACTTAGCACAAGGCTTCACTCAGAGTAGAACTCATGAAATGCTAAATTGGCAATGCTGTTATGTAGATACATGTAAGCGAGGATTTACAAATGAGTACATCTCTGAAACCTTTCTCTATCGCTTTTCCATGTTATCCCACAGGATGAATAGGGGAAGAGATGATTAGTTTATAGATGGAAGGATGGGGACTATTCTTATACAAATTTCACACTGTCTCTTAATTCTGATTCTCAATTACCTGCTTGGGATCTTAATAGTTCTAGACACTCTGTGAGTGTGTATATTGTTCTTACTTTGTGGGAGAGGAGAGAGAGAGGAGGTGAATAAAAAGGACAGGGGTTCTAAGCAAAGATAGTTCATTAAACTGTGATCTTATTTTAGGATTCCTGGAAATAGTGTCAACTGAGAAGTCATGGATGGTTTGGAGATAAGCTCTTCTTTCTGAATCTTCTGAATGAGGATACCACCTTCCTTAGGGCAGGTCAACAAAAAGGACTATTTGGGTGCTACTTTTTGGTCTTTGTATAGAAATAAATAGAGACGATTCAGAAATCACATTTCCAAGTTAGTTTTCCCCAACTCTGGTCAATTCGGGATGCAAGTGAGAATATCCTCTGGAAGTTTTAAAATCAGAGTCTTAGGCTTCGTCGCAGAGACAGCCTGAATTAGAATTTCTGAGAGGGCAGCCTGGGTTTCTGCATTTCACATCTGTGGTTGAGAATCACTGCTCTATGGAAAACATACCCATTTGCATTAAAGAACAAAGACTTTCAGATCTTCAGTTGAAGAGATGGATTGAAAAGGTCTGGAAAAAGGCAGCACAAGTTACCAGAGGTCCTAGAAGGTACCCAAGATATGTAAACTAGAATGATTTTACATGAAAGGGAATAAAGAATAAAGAGGGTATTTGGCGGCAGCACATAACATAGTGATAACACCAATCTGACACTTCCTAACGCTGTTTTTACTAACGTGGAAACCAGAGGAATAGTTAGTGAAATTGTAATGTCATGAAGATAAGACAAATGACAGGAAACTCTCTCCATGAATCATGAGCCTACGGCATGTAAGTCACTCCTATGATGATAACAAGACCAGGCGCACAAAAGGATTTTTAAAAGGGTAGACTTGCTTTAAGGCCATCAATAACATTTAAAGCCATGCATGGTGAGGTCTTGTTAACTGGTCTCTTATATCATTCGAGCATAAAGGGCTGGCCTGCCAGGGTCAGTCAGGAATCCAATTTTTCACTTTGGTCATTAGATCGCGTAATTGCAGCCAAGACTACCTCTTGAAAGGGAACTGGACAAGTTTTATGTTTAGATATAGAGCTGGATACAAAGGTTTTAAATATTGTTTCTGAAACTGAAAATAAAACACAAAGGCATCTGAATCTGTAGCTTTTCACTTAGGCAAAATCTTCTTTTTAAACTTATCATGGAAGCTTTTGATCCCCCGTTGAGGGCATAAGCATATTTTTAACAACCATTTGACTAATTATTTTTTATTATTTTTTAAATAATTCCTGGATGCAAACATGTATTTGATATGCCTCTTATTCAGTGTCAGGAAAGAGATATGAAAATGCAATGAAAAAAGAGCCAAGGGGTCCACTTTTATTGCAAAAGAACCCTTGGGTCCTCCAGGTACAATTTTTATTTGCTGTACTAGAAAAATCCCTGTTCCCTTTCCTAGCTAGCTGTTTGGATCAGTGCCTCCCAGTTCTTCCCTTGAATTTACTAGAAATCGAAGTTAAGGAAGCAGTATAGTCACTGATCATTGGTCCGTCAACTTTGTGAACACTCTAGGACTCAGGTGAATGAAAAACTTCTAGGTCAGAACAACAAAGGCAATGGTACCAAAGGTGGTGCTTTTAAAACAATTGTTCTTATAAGAGTCTGTAGACTGCTTGGAACCAGTAGCCCTGTCGTCTCATAGTAGCATAGTTTATAAATGTAACTATTGCATTCACATTATGATTTTCTCTCTGCATGTTGGTATTTCAACTGAAAGTCATTAAGGGATTAAGGAAAGGTCACATCAAGATAAATGTCAGTTTTAAAAATAAAAACTATAATCATGATGTGGGGAGTTTTCTAACCGTTCTTTGCAGAACTGATTTTTTCCTAAGAAAGACTACCTTCTTTGGATTTTGGTACTGTACTTGTCTGCTGAACTGACCAAATAGTGCTAATCTTGGCAGTATGTATACTTTACCAGGGTAGTATTGCTAGAAACTAGTTCTGGCTCTATTTAAATCATTTTTACTGATACAAAACACATCATGTCACACATGCTGATATGGAATAAATGTGGCTATCATATTTATAGCATATTTTCCTTAATTGCTTCCACTAATATGTTCTAATAATGCTTATTTCCTAATGGAATTATTCTTATTAAATAACTTTTGACATCATATCATTATCTTTTGATAACATTATGTATCTAAAATAGGGAGGGTGTTGACTGTCTACTACCCCTTTTGATTTTAGAAGATTCCTTGTGTGGACATCATTACTACAGTTTGCCAATTTTCCAACTCAAAGGGCACATAATAGGGTTGCATTTCCTGGCCCCTGTGCTTAGATAGGGCCGTGTGTTGGTTCTGGCCACAGAGGTGGGAGCAATACTGACATGTGTCAACCTCCAGAGATCTCCCTCCTCCAACACATGACTAGCATTGTTATCAGTGCCAGAACAAGCTTTTTTTGAATACATTTTTCTGTTTCATAAAAACCATGAGTCATGTAAATGATCTGTTTACAACTTTGTTTTGATTGCTAGGAAGTTCAGGGTCAAAACCGTGAGTCCTTCATTAGCCACTAGTCAGGAACATAGGGTAATATATTCCACATGTGCTAATGTCATCCAGCTGTATGTTCTTCTTACCTAGTTTTCCCCTTTGTGCCAAATATCTACCCCTTATAAATATATTTATCACTTTCTTTCAAATGTATCTTTCTGAGCTGCTCCAATTCTTTGTAGAATAAAGATATTACAAAAAAATAAAAAAATCATGATTAGGACAATCACAAATAATTTTTTCCCATGAAAAGAGGTGAACTCTTCAGATCTGACGTAGCTGGCTTAGATTAGAGTAACAAAAAAGAAGGCCTCCAACAAAATAGTTCTCTTTACCCCACTTGCTCCAGGGCTCACCGTTCATAGTTAATCATACTCGATATTGCTCCAGAATCAATCATAAGAACTTAAAAGAGACCAATACCAAAAGACTTAAAGTCCTGCATACTTATGACATTCCATCCTATCTTGATAACATAATCCATAAACCAGCAAGGGGAAGGGTGGCTTGTAACTATTGTAATGTTTCCTTTGTATTTTGCTACTAAGGATGAAAATACCACAAGATTATATCATTGTTTCAGTTGTTAGAAAATAACTACTTTTTTTTTATTTGTAGTTAAACTGGTTCATCAGAAGGCAGAAACTCAATGCCAGTTGGCTCTTGAAAGAATAATTCGAATGGTTCCACTCTTATCAATATACCCTTGGATATGGTCATAGCTCCTTAAGAATAGTGATCCCACATCAGTCCAGCTTCTTTCTGGAAGTTTTTTGACAGAACCTTCATGACTTGTTCACAGTAGCATCGACCATCCTTGGTCTAGCCTAGTTGTTCTTGGCAATGATGAGCTTAGATTTTGACGGGTGAAGTTACCAAGTACAGACAACCTGAGCAGCAGCAAGACCATATTTTAGTTTGTCTTGCAAGTCCTCATTGAGGTCTAGGTGAAGATGTTGAAGAAATAGCTTGTAGGGGTCTAATGTCTGTGCTTGGTGACCGAGTCATCATATAAGATACCTGGAAAGTCCTTGGATCAAAGTTTTCCAACAAAAGGTTTCGGTATCCTATGAAGCCTATACCATATTTCAAACTGATTATTTCCCAAAAGGCAATGCCGTGCTATGGAGACAGCAACAAAAAATTCTTCCCCACAAATTCTCAGCATCCATCACTAAAGGCAATCCATATGTCACAAATAATTGGCATTATGCTGCTGTTGTAGCAGAAACTTAAAATGCAACCTGGAGTTCTCTTAAGTAATTTTGAGGCATTTTTGTAATACTCATACTTTTTTTTTTTTTT